GGGACTTTCATCCAATTTCGGAGCAATTTCAAAAAATTTTTTTAAATCTAATTTTAATCGGAATAAGCTGAAACTTTCTACACAACACAAGTACATGAATAGGCATCAGGGAAAATTATAACAATGGAAATTTTTTACTTTTTAATTTTAACAAAATTTGACTCGAGACGCTGTACTATAGTACAGGGAATTTTGTCCAAATTTAGAGTAACTTCAAAAATTCGTAAAAGAATTTAAATTTGATTAAAATTGGCTCAAACGTTCTACGCAACATATGAACAAGTATACGCATCAAAAAATTATAAAAATGAAAAAATCTCTACTTTTCATTTTTTGCAAAGTTGACCGGAGACTACATGTACATTACTAATAGTAAAGGGACTAACCTTGTGATGGTACAAGATAGTTGAACTGAATTTCTTTGTCAAGAGCTAAAGTATAAAAGTGATAATAAATAAATAAATAAATAATTACATACTTGTTTGTGTTGTTTGTATTTCTTTGTTTTCAGTTTCAATTTGAGTCTCAACTTCATCATTTGAATCTTTCACTAAAAAATAATGATAATTAATAAACATGTCAACAGTAGCTTCACAAACAATAACATACCATTAATATCATATTCTTCATCATTATTCATTGTATGTTGTCCAGTAGGTAATTCATGTAAACCTACAGTGAATGACAATGTACAGTACATGAATACAATTAATATATACCAATCACTAATCCTTACCTTCCAGTATATCATCTCTATCCATTCTTTTCAATGAGTCCTTCAGTTCAGTTATTGTTCTATCCTTCTCATGACACCAGGTCTCAAGTACATGAGTTAATCTTGAATCAACTGGTGTCATCTCTTTGATTTCAGTTAACACTGATTCCTTCACTTCAAGACACTGTCCAATGTGATACCAGTCATCTTCAACTGGTTCAAGTATCACTGATATTTGGGATATGTCATCTACCGTAGATCGGGAAATTTTTGTGTTAAAAATAATTGGTGTGAAATTTTTTCATGGTGTTTTATTTTCGTTGGTTGACCCATCCACGAAATTTTTTTAACACGAAAAATTTTGGATGCGTTATAAACAGGACACGTGGCTACTAACTCCTGACAATGGTGGACTGCTATTCGATGGAAGTTGCTCATGATAGCACTGAAACTGACAAGGAGCCTCTTGGATGAGAGCTTCAGGCCTTCATTGGGCTTTAAGAAGAGCCTCATGCCAGCCGTGCATGCACTACTGCACGTTAGAATAGACTAATTTCGGTAATCTATTTATTCACTGTAGAAAATATTTCGTGTGTCAAAATTTCGTGGGTCACTTCAACCACGAAAATATTTTAACAACGAAAATTTCCCGATAGTATAACAATAAAAATAATAATAATAACAATAATAAAATTAATAATTTCTTTAAAATTATATACATGTACATGTAGCACGTAATTTAAAGGAAAAATTTTGTTTAATTTGATAGACATTTACCAAA